TCGGATCAGAAACTTGGCGGGCGGGTCACAAGGAATATTTCCAACAGGCTGTCTATTGCAGACCTTTATCAACAAGTAACTGTCTTCGCTCTATACTGAAGATCAAATCAGATGACCAGGCTGTAAAGAATCACCAACTGTGGGAAACTATGGGAAGAAACAAAACAAGAAGCAATCGCCAACCGACAAATATGCAGGATTATCTGATTGGTCAAAAACTTATGTGTTTAATTATAATTACGATTGTACAGCTCATGAAGATGAATCGTTGAAAAGAAAATTTTCTTCGCTGTTTGTGCCTTTTCTTATGACTCAATATGGGAATATTTCGTTCATTGAAAAACTCCAAGGACCCAGCGACAGTAAAGGAATTAGACAAATTCCTGCGTTTCTCTGTCAAGCTTGCTGAAGTCAACACGGAGCTTAATTTTCTTAAACGATGCATCGATAAGCATGAGTATCCAAAACATTACTGGAAGAATCTCCGCCGGAATCATATTTACCCTAATTCAAAGACACTAAAACGTCACACACTGAATCACATCGACGCCATCCGCTCACGCATACCCGAACTTGAGCGAAACATATCACAAAGAACCCATGCTTTATATGAACTATCTGATGATGAACGACAAACATTCCAGGATTACGTATCTAGTGTCATACAAAAGCGTTGTGACGATACTACTTCACGACTAACAAAAAGCTTGAAACCATCTGAAACTTTTTCGACGTTTCCACAGAATCCGGAGAAATATGTATTCAATTTCTCGAATTTTCCTCTGACTCCTGTTCAAATGCAAGTCCTATCACTTGGCCCAAAATTTTGCCATGTATCGAGTAAAACCAACGAATTACATACTAAAGTGCAGTTTGAGAATTTAATGTCACAGACATCCGATTTGTCACCGACTTCCGAAAAAGACCTAGATCAATTCAAAGCTTCAATTCTTGACAGCTGTTACAAGTACATTCGTACGCAACCGAGCCACCGTTACCTACTAACCAAAGAACACAGAAGACAACTTAAACAACTTCAAGAAAATAAGGACATAATCCTTGTCCGTCCTGATAAGGGCAGTGGGATTGTAGTGATGAATAGATCCGATTATAATGAGAAATTGACAAATATACTATCAGACAAAACCAAATTCTTTGAATCACCCAACCAAAAAGACACAACCGAAAGAACAGAAAACCTACTCACAAAATTGCTGAAGAGAATGAAAGAAGATTCAGTCATAACACAGGAGGTTTATGAGCAAATAAAACCATGTAGTTCAACTATTCCAAGACTGTATGGACTGCCGAAAGTGCATAAAGAAAATGTTCCACTTCGACCGGTCATAGACATGGTTAACTCACCGTATCACCAAATCGCGAAGTGGCTAGCTGATATCCTCGAACCAGTTAAAAGACATATGACAAAATATAGCCTCAAAGATACATTTGACTTCATCGACTCAGTGAAGGATGTCAACGTGTATGAAAGACAAATGATCTCACTAGATGTCGCCTCTCTATTCACAAGTATCCCCCTGACTGAGACAATATGCTTCATTTGTAATTACATAGAAACCAACAACATAGAAGTTCCTCTCCCCATAAACTACCTGAAGGAACTTCTTCTCAGATGCACGTTCAATATCCAGTTCAAATTCAATGAACAGTTCTATGTACAGAAAGATGGAGTAGCCATGGGGTCTCCTCTCGGTCCACTCCTAGCTGACTGTTTCATGGCGAGTCTTGAAAACAACATCCTTGATCCCTTGATAAGTAAACTGCACTTATACAAGAGATATGTAGATGATACGTTTATAATCTGTGATGAAAAATGTGATTTAGATTCTCTCCTGAAAACCTTCAACGCAGCGCATCCATCAATAAGATTCACCTTAGAACGCGAATCGAACAACGCATTTCCATTCCTCGATGTATTACTCACCAGAAGAGACGACTGTACGATCCAAAGATCGATATACCGTAAGCCAACATGGACTGGACAGTTTATCAACTTCCAGAGCTTTGTTCCACTGACCCGAAAGAGAAACTTGGTACGTACATTGTGCTCAAGGATTAGAAAAATCTGCTCGGAAGACACGGTGGAGAAAGAATTAAATTTATTGCGTGAAACCCTACTAGAGAATGGGTATCCGCCAAGATTCATCGACAAAAACATGAAGGAGAAGCCCCCGGTGCCAAATATCACAACGGTTCCTAAGAAGACTCTCTTCATGAACCTAGAATTCAAAGGTGACATCGCAGCGGAAATTCTCAGAAACCGCCTTTCAAAAAGTCTGAAGAAGACATTCCCAACAGCCACTCTACGTATAACATTCTCCTGCAGACAGTTAATCCAGTCTAACGTTAAGGACAAGATACCGCCTTTGGCCACTTCAATGTGTATTTATCAATTCACTTGCTCGTGTGGAGCAAAGTATATCGGCCGTACGCAACGTCAAGTCCACAAACGTATCCTGGAACACTGCCCAGCTTGGTTAGCCAGAGGAGAAAAGAAGAATAGCAACAGCTCAATCCTCGAACACCTTGTTATCTCCGGACATCGAGCACCCCCACACGAATGCTTCACAGTGGTACACAGAGTCCCTCAATATCGTACAAAAGGACTCCGGATACGACATCTGTACATAGCTGAGGCATTAGCTATTCGTGACATAAAACCGGACCTATGCATACAAAAACGATACATACATTCTCTAGCCCTACCATGGCCAGAGTAAATTTCTTACTATAATTTTTCTCCTCTCTTTTAATATGTAAGTTCATTATTATTATTATTGTTATTATTATTATTATTACTGTTCCTGTCCTCTCTACACTAGCTTATTGATTAGTCATTATCTCACACTTATTAGGTCATGCCAACTTCTGTCTCCTTTCTAACTTACAATTAGTCATCCCTTCTTACACCTCACATTATGTAGTAGAATTTTCAAGGACAAAGTTTACCAGTATCTGATTGGTCAAAAACTTATGTGTTTAATTATAATCACGATTGTACAGCTCATTAAAATGAATCGTCGAAAAGAAAATTTTCTCCGCTATTTGTACCTTTTCTTATAATTTCAAAGAATTTTTATCAAGCTTTACAACTGTATATATATATATATATATATATATATATATATATATATATAGTTCTTTTTTTAAGATATGATGTCCCGTGATTAGATAGAAAAAAGGTGTGAATACGTAAAATAATAATAATAGTAGTATGAGATGCGATTAAAATGTCTGTGCTTGTAAGCATAGTTAGATGTCAAGCGGCAAAACAAATTAATGTCATATATAGAACAATTCATAGGATGAATAGATGTTGGATTAGGGTGTAAAATTATAGGATTAGTTAGCAAATAAAATAAAAACGTAACACAAAATGGCATGAAATCTGATAACATAGAGTTTAACGTTGCAAAAGACTTTGATTTAGAATGACAAGTTGGACAAGTGAAATAATACTGGAGACAGTTCTGATTGAGAATAATAACAGTAACAGTTGATGTAATAAACAAAGGGCATACAAACTGATTAAAAAAAACAAAAATAAATAGAGCCGAAATATGAATGGGTCTTACCATACTTTAGCATAGACGGATTAAAACTATGACAGTTGGAGGTGTTGAACAAACTTTTTCTGTATCCAGAGATCTGGCTTTTCTAATCCGATGGCCAAATCCTAAACAGTATATATGAGTTCGATACGCGATTATTTGGGCAAACCGTTTTTCTCTTTGTAGACGACTCTGAGGAAAGAAGCCATAGAGACAGGGTGATGGGTATCGACCAGATGTTCAGTGATTGCACTTCTTATTGCTCCACTCCCACCTCTTCGTAACTATGCAGGATACTAATGTATGTGTAAAACTTGGGCACTGTGGTAGTAAGTAATTCCATATTAGTTTGTTTATTAGATTTATCACACAGTGGAACAGTATTATTTACTGGATGACGTTTCGAACAAAATTTATTGTTCATAATCATATCAATCGTAATCACTCGACTTTGAGACTTGAGTTTTATAGTTTTCTTTGTTTTCTCCTATTTGTCGTAGGGGTAGTAGAATTTTCCAGATGTCAGGGACAGGTGATGAGTCATTTCTATTACATGTATTTGCAGTTGATTCGATAAATAAAGCTTCTGTTATCAATCTCTCCCTCCAACCTGTGACAGATTTTAAAACTGTCATCCTATCCCATCCAGCCTATTGTATGGTTGTGTGTAACTGCATGTAGCGAGTGTTATAGCTGAACTATTCTCTAGATTTCTTATCTTATTTGGGTCAACCAATCTAGATTTTGCTAAGTTTTTGTGTTCAGCTAGTCCGACTGTCCCTGTTCTACTAGTTTGACCTATATATTTGACCTCACAATCCCTGCAGGGTATTGAATAAACTAAATTGTTTTGTTTTAATGGCTCCACAGAATTGATCCTTTAACCGACAAAGCTTGTTTCTGATTGAGCTTGTGAGTGGTTTGAATGCCAGCCACTTTTATTCCTGCCAGCATTGTTAAGAATTCTGCGTAAGGCTTCCGAGGTTCCTTCCTTGTATGGAATTACTGTTGATAGTTTAGATTCCTTATTGTTGGTGTCGTCATTATTATTATTATTATTATTAATATTACTATTATAACCACTATTAGTGTTATTATTATTGTTATTATTAGTATCATCACTATCGCTACTATCATTATTTACTTTATTTTTAGACTTCCTTACATATTTCCTGACTAATTTATCGGTAATTATTAAGTAAGTTCCCGGGCTTCTTTTATGTGTATCACTTTCTGTCTTAGACTTTCCTTAGTACTACTTAGTTTTTATGCTCTGTCATTTAAACATTTCACCAATCCTATTTTTATTGACATAGGATGGGATGATCGGAAGTCCAAATATCTGTTTGAATGTGTGGGTTTTCTGTAAACACTAGTGTTTAACTTCCCATCTTCTTTTCTTTTTACGTAGGATTGGGAGCTTCCTTTCCTGACTTTCCAATTCATAAGTGAATTGAATAGTCTTCACCTTTTAGTTAATGTGTTCGAAAAATCTATCTATATCTTGTGTTCTTAGTACAGTGAATGTGTCATCTACATACCTCCACCATACTTTTGGAGTGGGGGTGAACGTTTCAATCGCCATGCTTTCCCATCTATGCATAAATATATCTGCTACAACCGGGGATATTGGTGATCCCATGTCAAATCCCTTAGTTTGTTTGTATATTTTCCCTTGGAATTTAAATACTGTAGAAGTCAGGCAAAGCTGCAATCCCAGCATTATGTCCTCAATTGGCACTTTTGTCCTAAGTTCGAGTTCTTGGTCAGAAATGAGTTCGTTTCTGACTGCCTGCATAGCCATATTTATTGGTATAGGTGTATATAAACTGACAATGTCAAAACTAACCATTTTTTCTTCATTATCTAATTTTAAATTATCTAATCTGTGTTTTAGTTCATAAGAATTAGTTATGGAATTAATTATCGAATCAACTGCAAATACATGTAATAGAAATGACTCATCACCTGTCCCTGACATCTGGAAAATTCTACTACCCCTACGACAAATAGGAGAAAACAAAGAAAACTATAAAACTCAAGTTTCGAAGTCGTGTGATTGCAATTGATATGATTATGAACACCATAAATTATGTTCGAAACGTCATCCAGTTAATAATACTGTTTCACTGTGTGATAAATCTAATAAACAAACTAATATGGAAGTATGCAGGATACTGTTCTTGCACTCTCTTGGTCAGAGCTAATTTCGAACGAGCACTATACCTAGATCTACACAAGCAGATGAATCGATAAACTCACATACAGTTGGTCAACTAAGGGATCTTGTCCTTCAGGTTATTGCACACATTAATGATCGACTAGAAAAGGCTATTCTCAACAATGTTGCAGATAATGTTATTTTCAGTGTCTGTTAGATACTACTTTTAGTGATGTCAGTAGCTTGATATTTAAGTATGATCATAACTGCGAACATTTTAATCGTATCTCACACCTTTGTCATTTTATGTATTCACACCTTTGTCTAAATTTCCTTATGGGATATAATACCTCGAAAACCACAGATATATACGATTGTGAAGCTTGATAATAAATTCGTTGAAAAGAATCTCTTCGCTGAATATTGTGTTCTTAAATATAAACTCAACAATAATCTTAGATAGCCAACAATTCTCCATTTTATAAACATACAAAAATCTCAACATTTAGTTATCTATGAGGTAAGCAGTTCTAATGTATCAATAAGAATATACTTACATTTAATAGATGACCTTAAATTTCAATTCTATTCTCTTATTCAAAGATATAAGAGTAAATGTTAGTAGAATCAGAAGTGAGACAATAGAATCATTAATTAGGTTAAGAAATAGCATGAGTCTACTTCTTTACTTCTTTCTATTTAGTATTTACTGAGAGAAAATTGAAAAATAAAGAAGCAATTTTCATGTATTCTCAGTATTTTAATCAACTTGAAGTTGGTTTAAAACTTTTGTGAAATTTCACTTTCTATACAAGATGTAAGCGAATGTAGTTCACTGCACCAGTTTAATCTTATAATCAGAAATATTCAGGAGAGGAGAGAGATAACATCTAGCACAGAAATACAAAAACTACAGAAACTTCAGCACGGTAGACTGGATAATGCGACAGACAACGGAAACCGACGAGGGAACAGGCATAAAATGGACTCACACAAAAGACTTGGAGGATCTGGACTTCGCCGATGACATATATATGTCTGATTTCCCACAAACTGGAAGATATGCAAGTTGAAAGCAACAAGCTGGCAGAAGAAGCATCCTGAGAAGACAGGACTTTCTTTAGGTGAACATAGATAAAACAGAGATAATGAAGATTCCTGGCCAACATCAATAGCAACGACAACAACAACAGACAACAATCAGCATAAATGGGAGGAACCAAAAAGAAACAACCTCTTTCACCTACCTGGGAAGACTTGTCTCAACTACAGGCGGACGGAACTGATGACGATTTTAAGGCGAGAATCGGAAAATCAAGACAAGCTCTCATTACTCTCAAATCTGTGTGGAGGTCAACAGCACTCACCATCAAAAATGACATCCGGATTTTCAACTCCAATGTGAAGTCAGTCAGTCCTACTCACTACACGGATCAGAGACTTGGCCAGCGCGTCATAAAGAGCATCTCAAACAAACGACAGACCTTCATTAACAGTTGTCTTCGCTCAATACCACTCAAGATCAGATGGCCCGCCAGAAAAGATCAGCAACAGGGATCTCTGGCTATGAGCGAACTAACCCAGCAGGAACCGATTGTGAAACAAATAGGCAGGAAGAAATGGAGACGGATTGGCCATATGCTTATGAAACCATCGAGTGACATCACTAGACAAGCCATTGCTCGAGTGGAACCTGAAAGGGAAGCGGCGAGTTTGGTCGTCAGTGCAAGGGTGACTTAGAGGAGGTCATGTGAAGAGGAAATGAAAGGAGATGTGGGCAGACTTGGAGCGTGGTGACAACGTTGGCAGAAAACCGAAGGTAATGGAGACGCGTGGCTGAAGCCCTATGTTCCTCTAGGAATTAAAGGATATAATAATAATAGTGCTTTTCATTATATTGTCATTGCATTTCCGAGTAGGTGTATAAATCATAGCAAAACAAACTTACCAGGCTTTCGTTTCAGTGTACATGAGTAGGTAGAACAGAGGTAACCAGTTACTACGATTTGAGTCTATTCAGATAGTTGGTTTTTATGTAATTGTGTATGATATGCTTAGACAAATGCTGTAATCATACCATACGTTAGGTTTGGCTGCTGAAAAGGAGCTCCTGCACACTTGGAGCTGGTATTTACTACACATCACAACTGCCTATATATCCTCAGCTTAAATTTCATTTGTCATTTTTCTTAAATGTTCAATTTTTTTTCACCACATAGCAAGTTGAACTGATTTATACTTGTGCTGGCTGACTGAATTCAACTCGTTAATTTCTCGCTATTGTCATTATTGTCTCAAAAAAATAGTCAGTTTACGTTGTTGCTCTACTTACGCTTTAGTCATAATCTAATTATAATTTATACACCGAAATGATGTTTTGTTGTCTGGACAATTGTGAATGTCAATAATAATAATGACTAATTAGTCTATACAACATAGACGGTTATATGCACAGATGAATGAACCAATGAACAGGTAGTAAGTAATATCATCAGACTATAAAATGGATTATCGATTTATTCCATTATCAAACAAAAAAAATCGATATTAAGATATATGTATACACATCTGTCTATACAAGCTTTATATTCATTTTAACACAGTATAATTTAACCAAAAAACAGAATAGAAATACTAATGTCAATTGTAATAGCTGATTATTTAAGAGCACATTTTACCCGTGAAGCTGAAGAACGCCTGAATAATATTATCCCAACAAAAATACGTGAATTAGATGACTTATTAAAAGATCCAATGTTTGATTTAAGTACAGGTTTAAAACGTATACGTTTATGTACAGATGATACAATTGCAAAACTTACTATTAAATTAAATAATAATACAAATGATTCGATTAAATCTCCTATACAATTTTCTATTATTAGTAATGAATTAATGGAAAATATATATTTCGTGGTTAGACCATTTATATTAAATTTAATTGATGATTCACAAATTTTACGTATGTGGTTACAAATGAATATACCTAAAATAGAAGATGGTAATAATTTTGGTGTATCTGTTCAAGAAGAAGTGCTGCTTGAAACAAATAAAGCTGAAATTGATGCAAACGCAATGCTTGATTTCTACGGGGATTATTTAATGTATCGGGCGAAAATTGCTAGTAAAGTATGCAAATGGCCAACAATAATTGATTATCATAAAGCTTTAAGTGATGCTGACGAAGGAGCATTTATACGATTAAGAATAAATGTTAGAGATATACGTAATTATTATGGAAGATTATATGATATTTATCAAAAGAATGGTGCTAAAATACGTGCACCTAGAAATGAAAGTCCAGGACAAATTAATATTATGTATTAGTGAAAGATGTTTTTGTTGTTGAAAGAAACCATTTGTTCAGTTTCACTCCTTTTAATACCACTATTATTATTATTACTACGACTATGAGTGGTCGTATTATTTCTGTGTGGTTTAATTTCAATTTCATTAACAATTCCAATACATTACTATTATTATTATTATTTTAATGTATAAAAGGATATTGTTATTATTTTCATTTAAATGTCTGTCTAAATACACCAGTCAATTCTGCTGAAATAGAACAGTGAAAGTTTAAATAAACTATACATAAAATTGTTAATGAATTCTAGATATTCAAATGTTATGCAAACCATTTAAGTGACAAACTATAGATAATCAATTATCAATGAGGGAATAGTTCAGTGTATCAGTAAGTCTTCTTTGCATTCTATTATGATATTAAAATGCCATCTCACTATTCATCCGAACGACAGCTACTACCCTGACGTGGTGGTCGGGCTTGCGTATCGCGATGACCCAACAAGCTACACTGGCTGAAACATATGTTCTTGGAGGTCCTACCATGCGAGGAAGGTTGTTAGGATAGCGATTAGAGTAAAAGCAGTTACCGGCATCGTGTAAGAATATTTCTTACACTATGCTGGCGATCTGAGGGCGAAATCGTACTGCTGGGGAACAGGGGTATAACAACAGTGAGGTGTTTCTCTATTATGCATTTCTTCTACTTTCTTCTGTTGCTTTGTGTGCTACATGGAGAGTGGCGACTGGAACTGCCGCACATACGTGCAAAGTTCTATGTCGAAAATAGACAGACAGATCTCACTATTCACCATGAAAACAAAGAAATTCGTATATTATCAATGGATGGAATGGAGATGTGAATTATAATCTCCTGAGTGACTTATTAATTGATATCTGAGCAAACACATTACGTTTTCAAGAGTTTATTTGTAAGAATTTGATAGTGAGCGCGAATAGCTCAGTGATAACTTCTCTGACTACAGCACTGGTTGACTTCGCATCTTAGAGGGGATATAATTTCCTTCAAGGTGGGAAATATGCCTTGCTGACCAGTAAGTACCAACTGGCACGAAACCTGAGTCCAAGTCTTTCTGTCGATTGCTTCCAACCATCTAATCCCATCAAAGGATGTTAAGGATGTTTGAAATTTTAATCACGGATCAGTATCAGTTAGAGTACCATTGGAAAACCAACAAGGAGTACTGGAGAGTTATTTCATCACCGTTTGGGACATATTGGCAGTACACAAATACCACCCCTGTAGTTCGAACTTAAGACCTTCCGGTTACAAGACAAGCTCATAGGCCATTCAGTCACGAGCTGACAGGAGTTAGAATTCATATCCCACTTAATTCCGATTTAGTGGCTATCTAGTCAACAGGTTGATTACTTAACCTGAAAGTCTTGGGTTTGCTCTCTGGTAGAGAGTTATGCGTGCATAATATTTAAGAGTCCTAAAGGTGAGCGAAATAGCTGTCTAGAACCCTCTGATTTCTACGTATTCACTGAACGGTGTTGATTCGTGATGAAAATCTACACTAAAACTTATTTAAATTCTCATAATACCCATAACTTGAGTGGAGAAGCTCAACTGCATACTGATATTAGATGAAGAATTATTTGAAGGTGAGAAGAAGTGAGCAAAGCTGTTTGCCCATCCATTCTTATCTCCAGTGCCTACAGTCCAGAAGATAAGATACTTGATGATATTAGATGGTTGGAGGCAGGCAATCGGCAGCAATAGAATAGAATAGACACATTGCACTGGTTACTAGTGTCAAATCAAGATAAGATATTTATTGCTTGAAATGTAATCCGTCACATCGAGACATGACAAAGTCAACTCTGGAACTAATTCAAGTCTTCGCAGTAGGTTGATAGCATTTAAGTGTCTTGAACTGAGGTTTATCATCAACTCTTCGTTGTTTCCTGTTTATCCATTTATTCAAATATAACAACAGTCGTTCCCTAAATTTAGTTCTTCATATGAGCTACCTTTCGTTTCATACTTTATTATACAGTTATTCATAATTTAATGACATTTGTTTTAGCCTTATTCTTTCAACTGTTTCGAAGTACATAATATCTCAAGTGTCTGTTTCCGAGGATTTGACTGATTCCAAGTTTGACCACAAATACACTTCTCTTAGAAGACCACTGAAAAACAGGAGGAATTGTTGGACAGCTGTTTCGCCTTAGCTTGAAACTCTCCAACATTATGAAACCATCGCGGCTCGAACTTAAGACGTTCTAGTGTTACAAGGCAAGCTTGTTGACTATTCCATCATAGGGGCTTGATTTAATGGCCCATAAAGTTCCAAATTCCACTGATTCGTGATATACACAGCAACTATTAGCCAATGTCATCGGTGTATCCCGCTGGCTATGACTTCTCACTAAAACTACCCCTGTAAGCTAAACTTTTAAACCTATATTGAATAGAAAGTCATTAAATTAGTAATTCTTACTGAGATAAAAAGAAACGAATAAATGAGATGTCTCATTGAAGTAGCAATCTTTGCGATGACCTAAATGCATAACCGTACAAACATATTTACAGATTTGAATAAGGCATTAAGAAGACAAATTTCGCGAAATGATATCATTTCGTAGTTTCTTTACAACCGCTTTACAACTAACATGGTTAACAATATTGATAAAATAAACTTCATGACAATTACTCAGTTAAATAAAAAGCAGAAGTACATACTACTAATGACCAAACATATTTTTAAATAGGTCATGTTGTCCATGGTAGGCGAAGATTGAAGTCTATTGTTTTGAGTGTACACACAGTTTAGGCTGTATGTGATTAATCCTCAAAAGTGTTTCCATCACCTTTAATCACCAACCTTGAATTCGAGTTATGTGATGAAATAATTGTGAAACAATCATTAATATTGATTTTGTGACCTGACATTAATAAGTGTTTTGCAATGGATGATGCTGGATTTCTATTCAGATTAATCGTATTGGGATTTTCTATATGATTTACTAGCCCTTTTGGAACATGTTCTTTTCGACGAGCACATTGGAACATTCTGTTAGTTCTACCTACATTGGTGTCACCGCAGCTGCAGGTGAACTTGTAGATACAATTTGAAGTAGAGTCCACAGAATTTCGTCCTTTAATCATAGATACAGGGATCGAAAATGTTCGGCATGTGAGGGAAAGAGATGAGGCGGCGTAGAATGTACGTTTGATTGCTGGCAGAAGTCTTTGAGATATCAACTGCATAATTTGGTCGCCATTGAATGGTAGGTTAATAAAGAAGGTGTCTTTTCGAGATGTGGTCTTGCTGTACTGTGACAAGTGATAAAGTTCTCCGGATAGCCATTAGCTAATAAAACTGAATTTATATGTCAAAGCTCATATGCAGTATGTCACTCGTGCATATTTTTCGAGCCCTTGACAACAAACATTTCACTAGGGAACGTTGATATTGGATAGAAAAAACTGATAGAATTAATATATTGTTCACTCCATGTATGTTTACGAAAAATAGATCACTGAATCGTTCCATCATCTTTCCTAGTCATAGTAATGTCTAGGAAACCGAGATTGTTATTCAGTTCGAGTTCGGAAGTCACTCGGATATTTGGATGAATATGATTAAATAGAGGAATAGAGTTTTCAATAGACTTAATATTATTGCCAATAATGAGTGTATCATTTACATAACGTTTATACTGCATAAATTCTCCAAGCATACCTTGAATTGGGGCCCAAGAGTGCTCCCCATCGCAAAACCATCGATTTATTTGTCTGCCTTTTCTTGGGAGGTGAATGTAATATTTTCTGCACACATTAAGATGATGTCTCTGATGTAAGTGACAGGAATAGGTAAATTTATTCCATTGCTTGTGATGTAATCGCAAATGAAACCAAGAGTTTCATGAAGAGGAACATTGGTGAATGAAGATTCAATGTCAATTGAACACATAACCTTTTCCTTATTGTTCAAGATGCCTAGTATATCTGTCAGATCAAATGAACTTTTTGCAGAATGTCTCTCTATTCTTGTCAGTTATGCTCAGCAGAAACACGGATGAGCGTATCAAAGTCAGGATCAGGAAATCTGAAATCAGTGCGGAAATCCCCTGCTGTCAGGATACAGAAAAAGATTCGGATTTTCAGTATTAATGTCAAGTCAGTCAGTGCTTCTGCATGTTTCAGAGATCTGGCGCTTCACGAGAATTATTTCCAGTAGATTGATTACTTTCATCAACAGCTACCTTCGCTCCATAATAAAGGTAAATGACTTATCGGAAAGAATAACCAACAAGGAACTCTGGAAACACACAAATGTCTTGCTCAAAAAATGTGCGAAAGGAAGTGGCGACGGATCTGACATATGCTCTGGAAACAGTTGAATGATGTCATGCACCAGGCTGTTAAGTGGAACTCGAACAGGAAGCAACGAGTTGGGCTGTACTCCAAGGGTGATACGATACTGAGTTTAAGGAAGAGATTAGAGCATATGGATATAATTGTGAAGCTAACCAAACAGGACAACAGAGAACAAGATGAAGTGGAGGTGTGTTGTCAAAACTCCGTGTTCCACCTGGAACCTTAGAAAATAATAATAAAGTAAATAAAAATTGCATGAACAATTCAACCAAGAAAGACCCCTATGGATAGCGGGGGAAGTAATAGTCCCTAAACGAATTTTATTCTCAATAGAATGTGTCAGCAGAAGTTTTAAAATATAATGTTACCTTCAAAAGTGTCAGTTGACATTCTAGGGACTGATCTGTTGTAATTTCATGAATGCTTATTAGTGAGGAGTTCTGGATTAAGATGAAACAGCTATCCATTGCTTCCTGGTTTTATTTTATTTTTTTATTTTTGATTACAGCTGGATTCCACACCGTATTTTCGGTATGGAGTTTTCAGCGTGGATATCGGTAGCCCGAATTTCGCAGGCCGACCATAGATATCAGGTATGCGTCGGCGTGGGTTCGAACCCTGGACCATGTGTATGGTCGGCGAGAGTCCTAACCGCTGTGCCACCGAC